AATATATCTGATAATGCTGAAAGTGCACAGAACCTCACAGGAGATGAGTTTCACACTTTCATTCTCAACAGAAGGTAATAGCAGTTTCATGGAAATAGGACAAAAATAATTTTCCTATTATTTCTTTTGAACATGGAAATGTTACATAAAATTATGAGACTGTGATAAAAAGCAGTGAAAAAAACCCTGCAAGAATCCAGAGAGCATATGGATGCTGGGCTGACAAAAGAGAGAATGGATACAGATTTTGTAGGTTTTCCTGTTTGCTTTGGATGTCGGTCTTTTTTAATGTATAGGTTAATTTTCTTAAGACATGTATATTTGTAAGTATGTGTGTTTACATACATACAAACATCTTTATAATGAGTTATGAAAAAAGAAGAGAAACAAGGTTGTGGAAGAATAGTTCACCAGTGCATTCCCACTGGCAGGCTAATGGAGAAAGCCTCCTGAGTTCACTGCCATTGATGTCTGCTGCTGGGTCCATCTGCTCTAGATGGACTAGAAAATGACTTTCCACAAAAACCCTAGAGCTGAAGGACTCAGTGCTCTGCATCTGCATGAACCTTTGCTAAGCACTGTGTGTACCTAGCATAGTCTAACTCACAAGGAACTCTTTTCATGCTTTTAAACATTCTGCTTATTTTAATGATAAACATCTAAGTCCCAAGGGGACTGTTTGAAGTGAATGACACTTATTCAGCATCCATGCTGGGAAGCAGGGGAAGGCATTTCCCTTTGAATGTCAGTGGTGGAGTGCCTGGTCTGCATGCCTGGGTCCTCCAGCCAAGAATGTACAAGTCATCTCTGAGAAAGGCAGAACCTTTTCAGGCTGAGTCTAGAGGACCCTCTGTACTTTTAAATGATGCACAAAACTTAGAAATGGTGACATTCCTGTCATAACATTCATATGGACAGGTTACCTTTCAAAGGCCTCACTTGAAAAGATTTAAGAAAAATTTCCTGCATTGAGAACTTCCATCAGTTTGTTCAGCTTGTGTATTGTCTGACAGTATGTTTGGTTAGTAACACCTACCGGCTCATGCATAGGAGGGCTAAGAATCAAGAATTATTTTGAGGATATTTTCTAGCTGCAAGCAGGTGCAGCACTTGATCCTCCTGATACTGATCACTGGTGCTAAGCTTCAGGAAAATACTTAAGGACAAGCTTTGATTAAGTGCCTGAGGAGGTTTATTGGCTTAGCATTTGTGGCTTTCAGAGGCTCAGCACTCAGGGTGGCTGCATCTTTGCCATGGCCTGTTTTGGAGCCCACTCTGCACTGGGCAGTACCACAAGAGAGAAGTTGTTGGCTCCACAGTGCAGCTGGTGACTCACACGTGCCTTCCCACCTACCCACTGCCTGCGTGACACTGTGCCAGCACCACACAGGAACCGGGCTCGTGATACAGTGTAAAAACACTGAACTGTCTGAAAAAGCCACAGAATGTAACTTTCCCTTGCCCTCCATTCTAAAATCATAATTGTGCCTTCAGAAAGAAACGACTCTTACGAGAAGTCAGTGAATCTGGAAAAGATTAGAAATTTTAATGAACTGCTCTGACTGCTTCCTAATTGGTTAAAACTGACAGCAAAGGAAAAAAAAAACATTAGTGCTTTTCTCTCACTTAGAAACTATAATTAGAATAGGTTTTATAAGCCATACATTTGCCTTCTGTTGACTAGAATAATTTAATTAATAATTTAATTAATGCTTGAAAGCCATTAAAACAAGGCTTAAGACCCTTAACAAGACATCATACTTTTAGTTAGAAAACCACACAGTCTGGTACTTAAAAAGATGAAGGATTTGTATCATAGAAAAACAAATTATATTAGATTACCGAAACTTTAAAAACTCCTGTATTTTTTTTTCTGTATCTGCCTTCCAAAGAATAAACAGATATGTTTTGATCATAACATTTTCTTCTAAAATGCAGATGGTTACACTCTGCCTTCAGTTACACTTGGAATATGTAGAATTCTACTTCCAGGAAATAAATGGATTCAACGATTTCTTCTTGTGAAATGTAGGAAGAAGCAAAATGGCATGTATTAGACAAAGGCAGAATTTTATGACTTAAAATGTGATGAAATCACTTCAATGATTAGGACAAGCTTCCACGTTGAAAAACAGTTTAATTGTTGTAGCTTTCTCTCACTCCCTTTCTCTGTGCCCAACACAATTTCTTCTTTCCTCTCTTTGGTTGGCCCCAAATGAGAGAAGCAAACCTGTTCAGAAAACGTGCCCTTAACATGTTCAGTGTGTCCATCTAAAATAGCACTGGAGTAAAAATTACAGTAGCAAAGTAAACAGCCCTTTTTCATCCACAGCTGGGCTTGGATTTTTTTGAGGAAAAGTAGCATGTGACTCTTTCACTCTGGATCTGATTAAGAGACGCCTCAGATGCAAGAGACACTTAGAATTCATGAAGTTGAATTTTTTCTCCAACTGCAAACCAAAACGTATGAATAATGCTGTTATTTGCAAGGCTGGTATAAATCTGGAAGAAGTCCACGAGGACTTGGTAACCGAGGAGTTCTGTCTCCTGTGTTCCTGTGACTGAATTCAGTTAACCTATGTAGATTCACAACAACAAAATTGCAAGAATTGGGTTTTTTTTTTCCTCAAAGGGATGTTTTTTAAAACACTACACAAGCTTTTAAGATCAAAACTTTATGCTATGATGGGCAACCTGATCTAACAACAACATTAGCCTTGCTTTGAGCAGGGAGTTGATCCATATTCCCTCTGAGGTCCCTTCCAGCCTAAATTACTCTATTTCTGTAATTCTGTGATTATTTGAAATGGGGCTGCATTCATGAGTGAGACAGTTGAAGATTCCAGAATAAATTAATGTTATTCTTGTTGTTGTGCCTTGATGAAAAAAGTGATCATGATATGAATTTGCCTTTAAGAAAATAAATGTACATGTTCACTATGAATGACACTGAAGATGTAATGATATAAAATACAACAGTTTAGTACTGCTTTAGTTAGAAACATCAAGAGTGTGATATAAGTAAAAAAAAATTAATGATCTCTGATAACACAACATGAAAAGAGCATCTGTGTGGGTCAAACCACAGGTTTGACCATTCACCTCAAATACTGTGTTGGACAGTGGTGGTAGGGATGCCTTGGGAAGAGTGTAAGAACAAACAAAAATTTACATGTCTTGGCCACATGCCTTGGCCCATTCTGTTGCCAGAGAAGGGCTAGAGGGAGAAAGCATCATGGGGGGACCTTTTAACATTATTTTCAAGACTGAAGTAGGAGGTACAAATGTTATGTTTTTAAATTAAAATAACTTCAATCAATTTGCTTTAACTAAAAATTTGCTTTCAAGCCCTACTCTGCAGACATACACACTCAAGAAAACACTGAGTATCCAAGCAGTCCTTTAGCAAGAAAAATCACTAGACAGGTACAAAATACCTACACAAGAGCATGAAGTCAGTCTAGTTTTGCCAGGTCAGGGAATACAGCTGTGTACATCAGCAAGTTCAGCAGAGGCCAGTGAGATGGTCGGGGGCTGGATCCCTAAGGAAGGGCTGGGAATGCAGGGATTGCTCAGCCTGATGAAAGGGACCTAACAAGAGCCCCCAGTATCTGTGAGGAAGTCATCAAGATGGCAAAGTCCGACTCTTCACAGTGGCACGTGGTGGGAAGACAACAACATAGATGCAAACAAGAGGGGTTCCGGACTGGGTGTAAAGAAAATGTTCTTCCCCCAGCAGCCAAACAAGCCTGGGTGATAACAGGCTGTCCAGAAAAGCTGGAGGGCCTCCATCCTTGAAGGTTTTCAAGAGCAGGTTGAGTAAAACCCTGGGCAACTGCATTTGGCCTCATCAGTGACCTCACCTGGAGCAGGAGGTTGGCCAAGTGCTCTCCTGGGTCCATTGTAAACTGAATTATCCCACAATCCTATGACTCTCAGTTCATAATTTTGAAAGCACTTCTGGCATGTTTTCTTTCTGGCCCGATCTTTTGATGATAAAATAATCATTGAATTTTAAGATAAATAGGTCAATCAGAGTGTGGATTCAGACTCTGTCTTGTTTTCCACAATAGCATGTGCACAGCATAACCCTTTTATCCTTCATTCCTGACTGATTCCCAGCCCTGCAATGGTTTGCCTATACAACAATATGGGATGTGGCATGGATTTTTAACTACTATCAGAGACAGTATGCTATTTCAGAGTGCAGTTTGCCTCGGATTTCACTTACCTTTGTTTACCCAAGGCGATTGTAACTAACGAAATCCAAGGAACGACACAAGCAGGAACAAAAGTCAAGGCAGACACACCCTCTGTGGATTTGTTTATCCAGTAATACTTTCTCTCAGCTCGCACGCCTCTGCTGTACAAGCAGACAGCTCTCATTTGCTGTGATAGATGAAGTTTCACTGAAGCTGCACGTTAGGTCTTGTTTGAAAATGTAACCTGGAAATCTCACCAACAAGATTAATATTTGCCATTGATTTCAACAATCATGCATTCCGACACGGTTTGATATGAGCCCTGGAAACCCCCATGCCTTTAGTCATACTCTCGGCTCGAAACTCGGAGTCACCGCTGTTTGCCACCGCCGAACTTCCCGTCTGGGGGCCGGTGTTTGCGGGCACGGCCCCCGCTCCGTGCCCACCGCTCGACCCCGAGCCTCCGGTGTGTGCGAGGCCCTTCCCCTCCCTCCTTCCCGAGGGTCGGGCGCTGCCGGGAAATAGCTGCGGGGAGGGGGCGATGCCAAGGGCTCCCTCCCGCCCGCCCCGGGCTCCAGCGCGTTCCCATGGCGACGGCGTCCTGGCAACCGCTCCCGCTCCCGCAGCCCGGCCTGCGGCGGCCGCCCCGCTCCCAGCCCCGCTCCCAGCCCCGCTCCCAGCCCCGCTCCCAGCCCCGCTCCCAGCCCCGCTCCCATCCAGCGCTACCCTGCGCTCCCATCCCCGCTCCCATCCAGCGCTCCCTGCGCTCCCCTCCAGCGCTCCCCTGCGCTCCCAGCCCAGCCGCTCCGCGCAGCCGACCGGGAAGGCGGACGGACAGACGGACGGACAGACGGACGGACGGACGGACGGGCCCCCGGCGGCGCAGCGGCGGCCCCGGCGCTCGGGAGCGGAGCGGGGCTCGGACCGGGGATGCGCGGGAGCGGCGGGCAGCCCTGCCCTGCCCCGAGCCAGCACCGGTGAGTGAGCGCAGAGCCCGTCCCGGCTCTGTCCCTCCGTGTTGCATGGCCGTGGAGTGGTGTGTGACCCGTGCTGTCCTGTCGCCTGTCGCACGTCCCGTGTTCCCCGCAGCCATCGCTGCGCCCACCCGTGACCCCGCGCCACGGGGCCGAGGCGCGGATAGGGCAAGGCAGGGCTCCGGCGCCATCCCCCCGCTCAGAGCCCTCGGCACGGGCACGACCGTCGCACCTGTTTCCCCAGAGGGCCCCTGGCCTGGCCCGGAGCCGCGGGCGGGTCCCTCCCGCACCCCTCGCACACCGCGTCCGAGTTCAGAGGGGGCCGGCGGGGGATGCTTCTCCCCGGCACTGCCGCCTTTTGACCCATCTTTTTGCTGAGGTGCAACACAAGGACTTTTTCCTCTTACTCCAAAGCGTCGCCCCAGAGCACTTCAGAGTAACACTGGGAAGCTGCCGGGGTGGTGTCACACGTTCCCTGCGCAGCAACCAAAGCGGTTGCTATTTTAAGAAGAAAAGAGTGATTAAAGTGTTTGCCTAGGCAGGTATTTCAGTCTGCTTTGATTCCCGTGTGACTTGTGGCAAGTCACATAGCCCACCCCGTGCTTCACTTCCCTAGCAGCAACAGAAGGAAATTATGTTTTCAGGGATAATAATGCTTTCCTACCCCGCAGGCATATTGTGAGAATGAACGTGAAAAACACTCCGAGGTGCAGAGACATTACAGCAAGTATTAGACGTAGGTTATCATGGAAGATGAGGATCTGAACACTACAGATGAGATTATCCTTCATAACAGGAGAAATGGAGAATCCACAGAAAATAAACATGCAAGGCAGTCTGAGAAGTGGGGAAGGGAAGCCACAGCACAAATAGCAAGGAGTGAACTGTACATTGCTAAAAGTGTTTTTTTCATCGTGTTCCATGAGTGATTTTTACACATCTGATGTCAGTGACTTAAAGAAACAATACGGAAATAATCCATATTTTTATGGAAAAGCTGCCCTGTGTGTCAGGTGAACTGTTATTTTTGGCAATCAGGCATACAGTTCACAGCTGGGGAAAATCTTTTATCTTGTCCATGTGACAAGTATATTTGGAATATTCAGTAACCTAAATTAATCAACCCAATATTTACTGGGTTAATATATCGTGACTTAAATTGCTATAGCAGTATTAAGTAGGAGACAACATCATTAAAATAAAATTAGGCACCTGTAGAGAGTATTTAAACTGGTATTTAACTTGGTCCCAGTTTACTGCCATTAAAATTGCAGCCATGTGAAATTACACTTCTCTGAATCCAGCCATCAGAACATCTTATGTTTTCTTCTATATTTACTAGTCTAAGTTGGTATTGCGTACACTCATAGAGAAGGAATTTGTCATTAGTTCTGACATCTGTTTGTTACAGTTTATTGCAAATATCTCCAAACTGCAGGAAAGTTTTCTACAACTGCTGAACAAGATCTTAAACACATCCTTTCTGGCTGTTGGATCAGATCAAGAAATCCGATAACTGATGATATTTCACTGTGTACTGAGGGAAGTGCTTAAGGTAGCAACAACAAATGACTGAGACCTTCATCTGTGTGACTCTTGTTCCATGTGCACAATTTCTCGAGATACTTGCATTTAGCTGCATGTCTAATGGTAGTCTGGCAGAAAAAGCTAAAGTTTCAAGCAAAACTATGCTTCCTCTGCTGCAAACATTTTTTCCCAATTGATAATAAATAGATACTGAAGGCTGTAAGATTAGAACACTGTTTGGCTATCTTTTATAAGGTGTATTTAACTAAGAGACTGCTACTGTACCAACTTTAATATTTGTTCTTTGTTCTTCTAGGTAGCGTCCAGTGCTTTGCTGCTGTAGCACACACAGCTCTTCTCAAATCAGTGGGATACCCTGTGTTTACAGTTAAACTGTGTTCAAATGCTTCACTGCATCAAGATCATTAAAATGTGTTAAGGCCCAGAGGTCTAAGAGTACATGATCTCAGGGGGTGTGACCTGGGGATACAGCCAGGAGGGACATCTGGAGAGTGGTGGCATTGCTTAAAAACCAACAACTGGGAAACGCCGGTGTGAGGAACAGAGAGCAGAACTGGACCTTCAGTGGCTGTGCAGGATTCTGAATGCAGAAGTCATCACAATGATACCCAGCTCTTATACCCTGCTTTTTACTTATAGCCATGTAAGAACTTAAACAGGGAGGTAGGTATCGTTATCTCTCTTCCATATGGGGAAACTGAGTCATTGGGCATGGAAATAACTTGTCTGAAGTTCAGTGGGTCAGAGATGGAGCAAGGAGTTAAACTCTGACCTTCTGAATTCCTGTCTATTGTCATTGCTGCTCAGCAATCCACCTGCTCTTAAAACTATTTTTTTTCCTAATTTGTAGTTGCTATAAATAGAGCACACACACTGTGACAGTGTTTGCTCTCTGCTTTCAGGCACTGCTTTCATACATTTCTAAAGCACAAACATGCTTTGCATTCTGAGATCTCGGAGGGCAGCCTTATTGCTTCTTCACAATCACTGATTGGCTATTTTGTTTCCATAACCCATTTTTCTCTTTCTACTGGTAGAGTGTAATGCACAGGATTTCATCAGCAATTGCAAAATTCTTTTCATACATCAGCCTTTAGTTTTCAGTGAGGACTTTAGGTTCCCAGGGAGTTCAGGCTTAGGCCATGCTCATTCTCTTGATACTTAAAAATGTCAATTTGTTTTATATAGGGTAGAATAGTTGGATTTGATTGAGGCTAACATCTTTGTCATTAATTTAATTTCTGTCAGCAGACAAAGCTTCTTAGCCAGGTACTGGTATCACAGTAAGATATTAAAATATCTTTCTGAAGCTATTGAATAGACCTACTCTGCTGCAATGTCTGTCACAGTCTGGCTGGCAGTGTCTAAAAATTAAAGCCATAATCTATATTGTTACCACAGAAGAATTTACTTACAACATAAAGTGTGGTCATTTAGATTTCAAGACTCAATTTTGCTAAACTATGCTGATGTCACACATTTTATTTAGGTTTCTGACTGCCAATGCTTTTACCTGAAAAGCACTTTATCCCTAATAATCTGCTGTAATGAAACATTTGTATTTGACTCTCCAGTCAATATTTTCCTAAGTTTTACGATAATCCTGTAGATCTTACTTTATTATTCATTCAATTTATTATTATGTCTGAGACCAGTAGACAGATTGGGGACAAGAAGTTTGTTTACCTTTGTCCTGCCAAACCGGTTCTGTGTGTCAACAGCAGATTTCAGTTTCAAGGCTGTCACCCTTGCCTTTTCAAGAGTATAATTTTCACTATAAAAAGCTTCTTAGCAGTTTTTAGTCTTCATTCTTTTGTATCTATTTTTAATCTTAAACTTTACTTAAAGGTGCACTTAAAGCAGAAGAATTTAGTCATTTCAGTACCAGATATAAACTACTCAATAATTCAATGTGTACTTTTTCAACAGACAAATTATTGACCAGAAAATGGCCCACCGAAGCCCAATCTTCCCAACTCTTGCCCCTTCTGAAAGGTACAGTTTGGAATATAAAAATTAAAATCTTCATATTGCAGAATATTATGTGTCTCTTGATTCCCTATATATAGTAATGCTGTGACTTGGGACTTTGGCATTAGTATGCAAAGCAAAGTAAAATACTGTAAACATTCAAATCATGGCCCAAATCACAATTCCTTGCTCAGCTTTTACTTAACCATTTTCCAAATAAATTAAATAACTTGAACTGTAACTGAGTAGAAGTCCAACAATACTTTACTTTAGCCAGTCTTCTAATAGCATGGAACTAGTGTGAAAATTCAGAGCCAAAAGTGACCTGTATTAAGAGCCTTCATACATCTCTAACAGTATCATCATGGTGAAACTGAACTGCTAATTTGGCTTATTAATAGGAATGAAAATGAGAATGCACAGTAAATAACACAGTTCCAAGAAAAGATCTCCTCTTTCAAAGTGGGGTTGAACTTATATCTTCCACTTATGCTTCTGAAAATTTTCATTATTCTTTACAGAATATAGTGGCAGGAAAAGATTGCATGCATTAGCAGCCTAATTGTTTTACTTTCAGCACCCATGAGCTCCATTGCATTCCACGGAAGCTATGCAAGTGCACTGCACCCTTGAAAAATATAGACAAATATTCAAGGTACCCAAATGTAAGCTATTTTGGGGGGAAAATTTGTGTTCTAAGGCTATGAGAAGTTTGTAATAATTTTGATCTTTCTATACCCACATATGCTCCTGTCCAGTTCATGGGGGAACAAGCTTCTGTGTGTATTACAGGATAGCTGTAGAGACTGAAAAAAAGAATTGACACAAGCTACTCCTTCTTAATCTCAGTCTGTTTGCATTTGATTTACAATACCTACCTTCTACAGTTATGGCTTAGATTGAGCCTGAGAACTGCAGAGACAAATAACATTACTTTTGAAACTCAATAAAGGGGCTTGAATTTGGATTCTTAATCAAATTCTAGTTCTGAATCGTAACTACTTTTATTATGCTAATGTCCTTTTCTTAAGTTCCTATGCTTTTGTAAGCTCCCTTAAGGGGAATGAAAGGGAGCCTGACCTGCCTTTGTACAAGACACGCAGTAGCCAACACAGCACCCGCTTATTTGTAGGAGTGGGCCCTGTCTCTGTGAGTATTTGGGGGCTTCTCCCAGTACTCAGATAGCATTGCACTGTCTCCTGTGGAAAGACATTGCGGAGTTTTCTGTGGGAACTTAACAATCTCTTGGCTATTCCTCTCCACTAGACGGGTTCGGAACATCCCGCTGCACAGCCAGGCGCTGACGGCGGTGCCGCTGGCATCTGCCAGCCTGGTGGATCAGCTGGAGGACAGGATCCTCAGCCATGAGAAAACAACGGCGGCCCTTGTGGAACACGCTTTTCGCATCAAGGAGGACATTGTGTCCACCCTGCACAGAATGCAGAACAAAGGGGGGGGGGACCGGCTGGCCCGGCAGCTCCTGGAGGAGCACATCCGAAACATAACGGCCATAGTGAGGCAGCTCAACCGGGACATTGAGGTATGTCAGGAATGTTCCACGGCACTAATGCCATCCCGGCTACTTAGTCCTGCTGATTTCCTAAGAGAGTTTATACCACAGGATAAGCAGAGGTCAGACGAGGTCTGAAGATCCTGTAAGTTTATAAACTGTTTTTACAACTTGAAAAAGTGTTTGCAAATTACATAATTCTTTCAGGGGCTATGAAAATAGCACAGGATATTAGCATATAAACACAGAAGCCTTTGTGGTTCTAATAAGCTTGCTTTCAAAAGCTGCACTGGAAAATCTTGAAAAAATGAATTAATGCGACACTAATACCCAGCTCAAGTTCAGTCCAAAGGCTGTGCTGTATAAACACTAGGAAATGCCTGAGCTCTGTAATAAACTTTCTTTCCCTTCTGACTCACTGATGACACCAAGTAACCAAACCCAACTGCTCATTTTTATGACCTAATCCTATGCAGATCCATGACTTCACATGTGACCTCTGCTGCAGTGAGCAACAGGGGTGTGGTGGGGAAAATGAAAGGATAAAAACCAATATCTTTTATCCTTCCATTTTTATTGTCAAGTTATACTTTATGCATATTATGGTATTTATGTGCGGATTGGACACTAATAACAAGAAACAATAAAATGCCTAAAAGACATCTGTTTTAGTACATTGCAAGACAAAGTTTTAATAAAGTAATAATAAAAAGGTATCTGAGGGTACTGAACGACTGACAAATAGTGAGTGACATTTTAAGTGTACATGAAATGTGACATACTGAGCTTTTATTTGCATATGAATGCTTTGTAGATGCTGCAGGAACAGATCCGTGTCAGAGACAATCTCAGCTACGGAACAAATTCTACCCTGAAGAGTCTGGAAATGCGGCAGCTTTCTGGCTTAGGGGATCTTCGGGGAAGAGTTGCAAGGTAAAAGTCAACATGGAACTGGATTTTGGGGGCTAGTTAATGTTGCTTTAATCTCGAAGTATTAATGTTAATGATAATGGGCTGAATTCAACTTTGGCAAAATTCCCAGGATAATTTTCCTCTCTGTTGAATGAATAATAATCCTTTGCATTCCAGTATTACGTATTAAACTTAATAATATCGTACTTAATTCCTAAAATTCCTTAAATTAGTTTTAAATAAATGACTTCAAATTCCTCTGGCAAATTTGGATTTGGTTCAGCTTTAAAAAGTACTGTGGTTAGACTCATGTATCTTTGAAACACATTAATTAGCACAATTAGAAAGGCAGCACGGAACAATCTGCACTTGTGAAGAACAAAATAGTTGCACATTTTTGCATATATTTTAGAAATAAAAATCTGCACATTCAGTTGTTGGTTAGCCATATTAAAAACCACAGGCTACGTGACACATAAGGAACAGGAAGCTATACAATAATAGAGGTTTTACAGGCTGCCTGATACTCCATCTTACAATTGTGCAGCTACACAGACTTCACTGTGCCATCAATGACAACCCCAGTGCAACAACATTGGCTTAAGTGTCCCTAAAGTTGGACACAAAAGACAGAGGATATGTACAGCTACAGGGAAAGGACCTAATCTGGCCTAAAGCAGCTTGGCTAATAACTTTGATGGAGCTATACTTGTCCTGAATTTGACCTGTTGTCTATATTGTACAGGTAATTTTTCTTTCTTCTTTGTACGTCAGCTAATTTAGTGATAACCTTCAAAAGGCTACAGAAATAATCAGGGAGGAATTTTCTCGAACTGAAGTTTTCTCATAAATTATTCAGTTGCCTGAAGCTTCCACTGTAACTTTCACAGCCCATTTTGCAAAGAATACTTCAGAGAGGTTTTAAAAAGAATTAAAAATGTAGTAAGTTATGCACAATGCTTTAGCAAAAATGAATGAACTAGTTTATTTTGTCAAATCAGAAAACTGATTGAGAGACGCACACACACATATGTATCTCACTGAAAAATCCCCTTGAATACATGCCTAGATCTTCCTGCTTCTTTATATAAAAAGTCCACTTTGAGATCCTACTACATCCTGAGAGGGGTCCACACTTGGAGCAACGCTATTACAGCTTGGGAAGCAAAATGTAGTGCCATTGCCTCCAATAACAGAACTCAAGAGAAGAAATCAGTGCTTTCCTGGATGTCAAAGCAGGGCCCTTGCCTGCCCTGATGCTCAGTACAGCAGTGGTGGGGGACTGGCACACTCTGTGCCAGAGTTTCCTCATTATTTACTGAGGGCACCGCCCTGGTGCTGTGCTTGGGTTGCAATTTATCTGATAATTGTATGAGATTAAACCCATCTGCCTTATGTCAGACTGCACAACAACTGCAGGCTGTTTGTATTCATTACCCTAAGAGAATCAGTTTATTGTCTTTTAACTGTTATCTTCTCTTCTGCCCTCTGTGCTTCTATTCAGCATGCTCTCTGCAGACAAAAATTCCCTGAATGAGGAAGAAAAAAAATCTTCCCTCTATCAGAAATCAAGTTAAAACAGTGTTCCGTGAGGGAAAACTATTTGCCTTTATTTACAGACATATTTTACTTTGAAAATTAGTGTTGCTGTGAATAATGATTACAGCACCAGCTGGAGAATATGGCCAAGACAGGGGTTTGTTGTGCTGTTGGCACAATACAGAATTTTCCCTGGGATAAACAGTTTCTGATTACTCTAGCCAATGTTCCTTACATAAAATGAACTTTACTCACCTAATACAATTTTACTTTCACATCTAGCCGTGCTAGCTTTCAGAAGAGTTCAGAGTGAAACATTAGAAACATGATCAGGTTCCTGTGGGTCACCACCTTCCTCTGCATCAGCTTTCAGCCCCAGTCAAGGTGTGGCTCTGGCTGCAGTGACAGGGTCACTCACTCTGAGTGCAGCCTGTGTGCTCTGGGCTGGTGGTGTGCAAACACACACTCAGTGTGGCTCAGTTCATACACACTGCCCCACAGTGAATCCCAAAATCTGAGCCCTTTGCTCATGTAATAATTTTAGTGTCGGTCTTAGGATTCTGGCCAAATTTCAGTTCCAGTAATTACATGCACATTAAACATCCTATTCAACTTCAGTAGTGGAGAGAATAGTGTTTATTTCCTAACACCAACTGTTCTGTGACATGTCAATATATCATCAAACAACTGTCTCGTTATGTCTTGAGGGCTGCTGCTTCTAATGATGAGAACAGGGATCCCTACATGCACATGCAGTTCTGAAGCACAGCTCCAAACCACACTCCCCACAGCTCTGGAGGAATGAGGTTTGGATGCTCCTCACTCATATCATAGAATCAACTACTATTGCTATCAGAAAATGACTGAATACACATTGCAGCTCATGTCTCTGCACCATTTCTCAATAAGCACAGTTTATGGATGAATTTGTAAAGCATTATCACAGTGTTCCCCATGAAGGATTCCCAAGAATCAGCATTATTATTAACTTTAAGAAAAAATATTACCTCTGTTAAATTCAGTGACACATTCAGCACAGAATCAGATAGATGCCAGTAGATCCATTTCTCCAGCCTCCTGTCCCTGATGTTGTCAATTTTATATAGCATAGATTTAACAATTCTTTTTCTAGTGATACTAAGTCATAAAATTCAGTAGTGGTGCCTTATCATTTATTTAGAGAATTACTTGTGTACTATGAACATTGTCTGGAAAGTTTAAATGCAGCAGCCTCCTTGTAAAGATATCAATAGCTGTCTCTAGAAGCTTCCTGATGGCTAAAACATCCAGAGAAACAGCAACTCTGCGTGTTCTAACTGGGCCTACTTTGCATATATAGATGATTTTTTTATATACATTATAGAACTGATTCATTTCAGACAACCTGGACTCATTAGATGTAGGCAGATTTTCCTGCACTGCACAGAAAATGAGTCTGATGCGTCTGGGATGCACTGAATTGATGAACTTGTTGGGTACAATAAATGTGCTGTGCTCTGGCTCTTGCTGTGTAGGAGGTGAGCACAGGGGCTGCTCTGGGCTCCTGGGCCACACCAGCACCATCCAGCAGCTCTGCTGCTCCTTCCTGCTGCCTGCCCTGCACATGCCAACTTGCCTTTCACTGCTTGTGTTTTCCTGAAACACTGGCATTTGAATTGAAACCTCTCCTGTTATAATCAAACAGGAACATTAACATCTCTCTGTACCATTCCAGCACAGGTACAGAGCACCCAGTTGCAGAGTATTGGCATAGCTCTCAGCCTTAGCCAGGCTCTAGTGATGCACTGACTGGAGCAACTACTGTCTTTGGATTTCTTAGAGGCTGAAGAAAAAATAAATGCTCTTCAGTGTGCCAGAAAAATAACTACTACTTTTGCTTACTACAGCTTGGAAGGCAGCTGTTTGATAATTTAACTGTTTATAATAAACTTTACTGGTTTCTAGAATTCTACAATATTCTGAAATTGAGGATAATACTTAGCAGTATGAAAACTCTCTATTTATTCTTCATTTACCAATCTCACCTAAGTACACAGCTTGCAATCAGAACTTTCAGAAATTGTCCCCCCAAATGAAACAGTAGCAAAACGAACACATTCTAGTGCACCTTTGGTCCAAATTTCAACAGTGCCCGTGTGCAACTGCATATGAAAAACTGCACTGGGTTGTTTGTATGGGCAGTTTCAGTATTTCAGAGAATTATTTATTGTGCACTTCTTTGTACAAAACTGTTTTATACTCAGCTCTTATATTTTTAAACTAGTATCCATCCTAGAAATCTTAATCTATTTCTCCTGTCTTTCCTTGTGCTTTTAGGATGACCAAACCTTGAAACTTGTTTCCAACTTCTGTCTTTATACCCATAGCCCACTGGCTACATCTGTAGATACAGTCTGATTAAATCAAATACAGTGTTCAGAAACATGTATTTCTATTTTTAAGAAGACTTCTATTGTCATTTTAATATGAATCCATAAAGAAGATTCAAAGAAGAACTTCCAGAGGTGTGGGGAATTCAGTGGGGATCGTAGTGTGCCATTTTGTTTCTCCCCTCTCTCTTTTTTTTTTTTATAAACAGGGAAAAATTCCAAGCTATAATGTTCCCTTGTGTTTAAACTGTTGATTATCTTCCAACCCATCATACGGTAGAAACCTGAATCAAAAGTGTTAGAAAGCCCATGCTTTTCCATATGTTCATCTCATTATTGCCTCCCTTTCTGTTTGAAAGCCAGTGGAAGCAGGGAGTGAAGTTATTTAACTGTCCTAACTTTTTAACTCAAAATGTGCACTCACATAGCTAACATCAGAACCTCATTCTTTCATACTGAACACTAATATTTTCTTCCAGGTCAAAACTGATCAGGTGTTTGTGAGTGTGTACAACAGACATAGCAAAAAAACCAAAATAATCTGATCAATACGTACCAGGCTGACACTAAATTAACATAGTCAGAATTTAAGTGTTTCAGTTACCATGGAACTACATGAACCCTTTGACCAGGTAACTGAGTTCCATGAAGAAAAGAAATGTTCTGTGATTAAAGCCAGAACATTTATTTGCTTTAAAAAGAATTACAGATGCTCGCTGTTTACATTTGCTTCAGTAGTTTCAAAGCTGTTGCTTTTTATATTTTCAGTCATGCCTCAGAGAAACAAAACCAACCATTTTTGGAGCCCACAGCATTTTGGTGATTAGATGTGAGATGATTTCATTGCTCTGATTGTAACAACGGGGAGAGATTTGGTTTTCCTCATCTTTCTAAACCAAGTGCCTGACTGTGAGACCCAGGAGTAAAGTTCAGTGCTGTGTAAACCTCAGCTGCTCTTCCTACAGATATTACTCACTGTCTCACTGTGCTGAACCGCTACACCATGAATTGATTTCCACAAGTTTTATAATGTCTATGTGCTATTTTGCATGACTGATCATTTTCTTATTGAAATTGTACCATAATAATAAGCAAATGCTCCATTTGCCATTTTAGTTGGGGCTTTCCCTTCATGTTTAATGCTAATGGCAGTTACTGTAACTGAGGTGATGAAAATGCATGTTGAAATGAAAGCCTGCAAACTGAAACGTGACTAAAAAGAGCATAAAGTGTGTCATTGGTTTAGGTAATGACTTAACGTGCCTCAGCTTGTTCCATTTTATTGCCTTTTTCTCCCTCAAATTGTAGCTGCTCTCTGTTCCCCATCAGTTTTCTAGATCAAATTTGGTAACATTGCTGGTTACATATTTCCCTTAGCAAAAAACTGTCCATGAGTCATACTTCACAGAGGTCTTACTCCTGAAATCACAGTATGTACATTTTTACAGCTCGGTTAATGCCTTTATTGTATTACTGTAGATGAAACCCACCTGGTCAAATTCTTTTTGATATCTGGTAGAAAATGCACATATTCTGGAGCACATTTAGACTGAAAATGTTACAGCATCAAATGTTCCAATGTGAAGAAAAGGAACAATAATTATTGTGTTCCAGGACTTCATTTCATAATCTTTTCTGAGACAAAATTGCCACTGCTTCCAATGACAATTTATTTATTTACCTAAATAAAGACTAAGAACTGTAAAATTTGCTCTGTGTTGTTTAGTACGTATACTAATTGTATACTACTATTTCACAAATAAAAATACAAAGCTACAATAATGAAAAAACGGTCCTTAATCATTAAGGCTTCCCATCATGTAGGTGAAATCATAAACACCCAATCAGATGTCTTCTGGAGTATGACAGAAACACAAGGTAATGGAATTGTGCACCTTTGCCTTTCTGATGTGATTCCCCTGACTGATAACACAGTCTGCCCATATTGTGGCAGCGTCAAGATGACTGAAATGTGTGTGTCAGACCATTGGACCTCAAGCCCGTTTGGGAGCAGTTTGCTGAATACTATGAGATATATGTGACAATTCTTACAGTCTCATAAGACATTGTTTCCCCAGACAGCCAGCAATTTCACAGAAATGGCCAGTATAAACTGGAAAATTTAAAAAGCCTGGACCTCCTATTCTATGTAGCTATTGCTTTTTTCTTTTATCTATTCAAACAGGTGTGATGCTGGGTTAGCCAGACTGTCTGCAGAGCATAAAATTACATATGAAAGACTTCAGAGCCTAAGTAAAGACCAACACACCTCCAAGCTGATCTTAGAATCTAAAATCAAAGAGGCAGAAATACAGGTATGGTATTCAGACCAAAGCAATCCATGTACAGGTAAGCGTTACAGTCTAATTCACACAGATTCCAGTACTGTTAATTATTATCCTGGGAGGTCACAGATTTACAAATGGAGAGCTGTAGCTGCTCCCAGTCATTATTACATTGAATGTTGGTACCTACCTGCATTAGTGTACTGGTCTAACTGAAAAAAGGTCCTTAATTTCTGCCTTCTGCTGTGTAGAAGGGACTAGTGTGTAAAGGCATCTGAAAGGACTCCAGGAACGAACAAAAGTCAGTGATTTCTGGCCTGAATGGCTTCCTGAGGTTGGAATGTGAACATGGCATGGATGCTCCACAAAACTACAACAATGCAAGCATCAGTGTCTCTCCCTGTATGTTTTGGCCTTCCCAGGATGATTCTTTATCTGTTTGAACACAATTTTTGAAGGTCTGCAAAACAAAACTGGCTCTGGGTTCTGTGAATCCATTAATCTGTCCGTCAGGTTTCTCTTCCATTGGGTTTGAGAATGGAAGTGAGCACTAGATACAAGCAGAGACTTGTGACATTAAGGAAAAGGATTCTTCATACCTCCATCTCAAGGCCTTCCCATTTTCTTGGTCAACAAAAGTATTTTACATCTTCATTTTGCGGTAGGTAAATGGTTAAAATCCACTTCACCTTTCTGAGAAGGCTCAGTGTAGTACCTTAGCATGTCAGGAGGATGTTGTCATGCATCTTGTAAACAAGAACTGTTTTGTGAACGTGGGATGATTGTTTCTCACCAAAACATTCTCTTCTAGTAATGACCTATCCCCAGTCAAACCCAGCCCTCCTGTCCCTGCATTAGCCATTTTACACAGAGTGATGGAGCACACCCCTCACTGTTGGTGGAGTGCTTTGCTATTTATTTGCTGTGCTTATGTGGCAACGTGGAGATGTATGGATTCTGCAAATCCAGCTGTCCCAAGGGGGGAGCAGGCAGATGCTTTCAAGGCAAAACTATTCCAATTATTTAAGGCAAAAAAAAAATCACAGTTTTCAAAATGTTGATACTTTCATGTTGAGAGATATTGTATTTTTCAAGATAACGTAAAATATGCTAATTCAATAATTTTAGAAACATTAGCAGAAGTGATCTAAGACCTTCCCTGCTGTTATGAGAATGTCCCAAATGAAACTGTGATGAAATGCTGCTGAAAAATAGTAAATTCTGAATTTTGTTTCAGATTTCTCACCTGCTGAGCAGAGTAGAGCAATCGATAATGCAGCAAGAAGCAAAGCTCAAGGTTGCCTACAAAGAGAGCAACCAACAGCTACAACTCCTGGACACCAAGTAAGTGCTGCTGCCCTGCACCCTGGGAGGCAGGGCCTCAGTTTTCCAAGTCTGAGTGTTGCAATCTTCAGGTCTACAGAAGCATGAACCTCTTTGGGTACGTGTTTGCTCCACAGATATTACGAAAGCACAATGGTCTGTCAAGTGGGACTTGCTTTCACCAAGAATCCTGCCCCTAATGTGCTTAGGCAATTTTGAAAAGTTCATTAAGTCCCTAGTTAAGTATTTGGGCAGAACTCAAATTAAATGACACAAGGAAGGATTTTTGTAAGAGTGGCCTGGTGCCACCCCTTGCCCTTCTGCAAGAACTGTGCCCAACAATGAAAGCTGGAGGTGGCTGTCCAGAGCAGGGCAAAGTGTTCAACTCAAGCAGGAAGCAAAGCACAGCATTCACAAAGTGATACTGCTTTAAATTGGCTTCAAACATGAATATAACTGAAATACCTAAATTATTAGTGATAAGCTACTGTGCTACTACCAGACATTATGTGGGGACATTATATTCAATTCAGATATTGACTCCTCTCCTGGCATTTCACTCTGAGGCAGTTCTGGTATAAGCCATCCACATCCCTACTCCTTACTGCTTATTGCCATCCTCATGCAATCCCACCAGTTACATCAGAACTGTTGGCAAACCAGATGAGAGAATAGACCCAGATTTCAAATACTCAAGGGAGAAAAGAAACAGTTTCACAGGCATGTTTGGTTGGTGTGAAGCTGAGGTGGGTACAGGCAATGTAAGTGGGGCCGCTTGAACCAGCATTGCCACCAAAATAAATGGTTACCAAATCTTTGTTCTGATTTAAGACCTCTGGGCACAAAGATTATAATCTGAATGGATGACCATATTCTATTTTCAATACCACAATGAATTTTCACCTGCTAGGCTTCAAAATTTGTGATGAGTTTTGTATAAATAATGGCTGTTTTGTTGTGCTCTTTCACCTTTATTTTCTAAAACAATGTTAGTTTATCCACTTTAGTAGCCTTACAATTCAAAGACTCACCTTAACATGGTGAGAAGAATGTAACAAATTGCCATTATGTTATTTTTTGAACACATTCACAAAAAAAGTCACTGCTGAATGACCAGTTCTGCCCTTTTGTACCTGCTAATTTCTGTTGTGCTCTTAGATTAAAAAATGCCATCGAGGAACTCAGCAGTCAGATTTTGTCTGCACGGAGCTGGTTGGAACAGGAACATGAAAAGATTGAAAAAGAGCTTGTGCAAAAAGTTGAACAACTCTCACTGACTTTTAAGGAAAATACGGTAAGTTTCTCTAAAATGTCCTGTAGTACTGCTCAGGAACTATTCAAAATGCTTTATTAATAACTAAGATGATATAATTGAGCTACTATTTGGGTGAGATTTTCAAACGGCCTCTGTATTTGCATAAGTGTCTTCACTGATGTAAAGTATAACATTCCCACAACCTAAGAATTTTTAAATAAATCTGATTACTGCTAAATAGATCAGTATTTTAGCCTACAGTAATCAAGTCAGTTAAAATAATTTTATAAAAAAGTGTAATTCCTTACACCTTTGAATTCCAGATAAAAGACAGTCAATCAACATCTATTTCATATTTTTGAAAGACTACTGTTATTTCATATGCAGAGTAAATCATTAAAATTCTTGTTCCGGGCTCCAGGAAATGAGTGAGAGAGCTTTTGAGATGAAATTCAACCAAATGGCAGAGAAAATTGAGAAAATAGAAGAAATGCAGAAGATAACCATGGAAGCACATGAAGCAAAACAGGCTGAAGAAAGGATAAATATTCGCATTGGCAAACTCCAAAACGAGATAAATGAAGATATAAAAGAAATGAAAGCCGAAGTTAATGCTGGTAGGACCATAGTCATCAAGTCCTTTATTCTGAATTGTGGTAACAGTGATCAACTTATAAGAATATACAAAATGTCCTTGTTTGTATCACAGTAATTTCAATACTTTTGGGGCAGATGTAATGGCTCCACCTGTGGCATTAATCAGGATTTTCCCTGTGTGTGACATTCCCAGCAATAAGGGGTATTATTGTTATCTTGCCAGCCTGGCAGTGCCCTCCCCAGAGCTCGGCTGTGACCAGGGGCATTTTTGCCTCCAACACAGTTACATCCTCTTTTCCTTCAGAGCTTTTGCTGTTCCTAGTGCAAAGCAGGGTGTTACAGTGGGAAGCACATTCTGGTAGTGGTTATGTGATGCTCTTGCTCTTGGGTATGAACTAATGGAATTCTCACCTGCAATTAGGATTTGCAGCCATCTATGAGAGCATTGGGTCTCTGCGGCAAGTTCTAGAAGCAAAAATGAAGCTGGACAGAGATGAACTACAGAAGCAGATCCACCAAATGAAGCAGGAGGTTCCAAGATGGGGAGAGGCTGGACCATGACTGCAAGATTTTGTCTGAGAGATTCGTGTTTCCCTGGCTCAATAGGCAGACTCTTGTCTTGTTCCAGTCTGTGACCCAAGTTAAGTGCATGTACCAAGGACATGCTGCTGCTGCCCAGGTCTGTGTGTTGGCTCAAAGCAGTAAATGCAGGCTCTTCATGGATAACCAACAACCAGCCCTCGGGGCTGAGGTGCTCCTTTGCCACTGCACTACTCTAGTTACTGTCAGGAAATTAAGCACTGTGTAAAACTGGAGTAATATATTGGTGAAGCTGGCACCTCATTTGCTAAAGGCATTCCAGTTTTGCAGGCTTGGGCAGTATATATATATATATACACTTTTATATATAAGCACCTGCACCCACCCCATTCCACCCCATCCCTCTTTTTTAAAAAAATAAAGACAACTTGATATAATTTGCTTAATATGAATTTGGCAAGGTTCTCCATCTTGATGCAAATTACTTAGTTGAAATCAGTGGACATTTTTACAGTGACTTTCTCTACTATTGGCTTCCTGGGGAGGTAGAATTGGCACTAAAAAAAACAATGTTCAAAACCTAGATGCCATCAGAAAATGTTTGTTTAGTTTTTCAAATATCCTCTGTGTGTGAAAACTAAGTAGTGTTATATAATGTAGTTGTAGACTAAGATGATTCATGAACAACATAAGAAACTTTAATCACATGGTCTTAAGTATTGTAACCTTTTAGAATTAATAACCAGGTGGAGTTGAGACAAGGTAGAACATGTATATAAAATATTTTTTAAGTGGGCATGTGTTCCTGTGACTTGCTTCATTGTATTGATAAAAACTTAGAAAGGTTTGAAAACAAAAGAGAAGGTGATAATCTAACCTAGCCTGGAGAATGTAATGCAAAATAAAATGCAGTTTATGTTCTCCTTAGAAATTTTCATTGAAGTAAAAGAACTGATTCATCATATTTAAGTAGACTAATAGTTTAGCAGATTCAAATTGCTAATTGCATTCACAGTATTTCCAGATAATAATTTCCATTCACAGAAGGGATTACATAATCAAAGTCAGCACCCATGGGGTGTATTAATCTAGATAGGAAAAAGTATATATGTTAATTTGATTTCCTCATTAAGAGCATGATATATTGCTCCTCATGTTTGCAAGTCATGCAGGATTAAACAGTCAAGAAGAATAAAAGACCTCATCCAGTATCCTATTAATTTATACTATTAACAGTAATTCATAGACAAAAATACTACTAATTCACACAATTCACAATAGTGTTAACATAAATAAATAAATAGGATGTCTCTACGCTATTCTTAATGGATTTTTCTTTCAGCTAGTATTGCAAAAACTATTCTTAGTTGGAAAATCAGTGGCAAATTTCTCACCACTTCCATGAAAGATGGTTTGGCCCACAGAGTCACCACATTTAAAACAAACAAAGACTAAAAAACCTGCTCCAAAAACTTACACCATTAACTTCAGTAAGACAGTGTAGTGTGTAAAAAAAAAAGGAGATGCACTCATCTTTACAGGTCTAACACCTCATTTTATATTCACTTCTGTATAGTTGAAGGCAATTCAAAGTCTCAAAGATACCTGAAGCTTTTGCAGCTCTGGCTTCCAATGCTGACACAAACCAGGAATGACAGAGGCAGCTTTGTTACCATCCATTTGTGCTCTGAAATGCATTTACAAGGGCAGCTCAGGGGGAAGCCCAGTTCCCCAATGAAATGCTTGCAAATATTTCTTAAGAATTGTCTTAAAAATTGATTCTTACTCCACATATGTATTCTTATCTATTCTTAAATATTTAGCCATGTGCAGTGGAAAAGCTATTGCTGGTGTTTCACTAAAAAAAAAAAAAAAGAAAATAACAAAGAAAGAGACAAGAAGAGACAGAACAAACACCAAGTAATTTTTTTTGTTCTGTAATTGGAAGTCTGTACCTGAGGGAATCTGGTATGATATGAAAAGCATACAAGGAATCAGAGAAACAATTTATACAGGATTTTAATAAAATGTTTCTCTTGTAAAAATCTCGTGTGATTGGTTCATATAAAAAACAACACACGAAACCCTATCCAATTTTACTTTTACTGGTTTAAAAATATTTTTCCCTAAATTTCAGCTAAAGGAAATAACTAAGAGCCCAAATAAAATAATAGTGACGTGCAACCTAATGTCAAGCCGTGTCTTCAAGCTATGAAGTGCTCCCTGGAGGGAGACACAGGTCAGCAATGTCTTGTCTGCACAGGCTGTCAGGGAGTGCTCGTATGGGATGAGTGAGTTCTTCAAGGGACAGTGGGAGTCCCTGTATGTTCCCGTTAACCTTGTATGGCAGAGTGCTCTCCTCAGGAGCAGCAAGGCCTGCAGGGAACAGCCAGGGAGCCAGGAGGGCAGTGCCCAGGCACCGGGGGCTGCCAGAGCTTCACTCTGAGCACTGGCCTGCAGACATCCTGGAAAGCCAAATAGAAGGAAACAGCTGGGCCTGGAAGGGGAGCTGCCCCTCTGTTTTTCCTTCCATGCTGGTCTCCAGTGGGATTGCTGTGTGCCAGTCCTTCAGGGACACCAAGGGCCTTTGGTGGTGGAAGCAACGTGCTTGCTTTGTTCAACACCAGCACTCTGTGCTGTGAGTCCCTCTGTGGGCACCAAACCCGGGGCTGCAGAGCCCAAAGGGAAGAGGCAGTGAGAGGGGACACTGATTTACTGGATGGAACCCAAGCAAATGGAATGAGACTTGGGAAAGGAGATGTGCACAAAATACTATTTAAAACACAAAGTTCACTGACAGAACCATAAACTCACTAAAGGAAGGACTGGGAGGAGCCTTGGGAAGTCATCTGCTCCCTCTCTCTGCTTTGAAACAGATCTAACTCTGCCTAAAATATTTGCTATAGGCACTTGTGTAACTTGCTTACAACAATCTTTGAAGAATAAACCTTTGACTAATGCAGTCTATTCCACTGCTTAAAGAACTGCCCTGCCGCCCAAACACCTAAACTGAATGGACTCTTGATAGGACAGGACATAATGAGCTTAATTTCAAGCACAGAGGACACAAAATCTAATTTATGACATTCTTCCCTGCATGTCCATTAATTTTTTTAAGGCAATCTGTGTATAACAGAAGATTCAAATGAAGTTTCACAGGGGTATCTGCCCAATACTTAACTTTTTTCTTCTTCCTACACCCATACAAAACCCACCAAACCAACAACACCCAACCTAAAAAACTCACAACCATAAAACCCCCAAAATGGCCAAAAGCAGACCACTTCCTCTCATGGAGTTTTAAAATCTTTCTTTTGTCAGCTATTTTGCATGCATGAGGCTTAAACCATTTGCAGTGTGCAGACCATAGTTTTCAGCCAGCTATGTTGCCTGAAAGGCATAATGAGTGTCAAAGGTTAAACTCACTGAAAAATATTTAACTGGGGTACATGCCTTTTATATCAGCATGAGATAACACAGCAGAATTACAGTACTGTGCAGTGAGGGACTTAACTGGGAATCAGAATTATGACAGTAATTACAGAGCAATTGTGCTATTTAGGTTCATTAAGCAAACCAAAGGAATGATGCAAGTAAGTTAAAAGGAGGATCCTAACTTCGACATGTATTTGTTTATGTAGTACAGTTTTGTATTGTGGGTACCTTTATATTGTGGATATCTTTGTCATTATGTTCTGATACAGTTCAGCAGACAGTTTCCATGTCAGAGAAAAACAATGTGAAAGACAATGAACAGCAGTATATTCCTGTGAAGTCAATTTAAACTGAAATGTAATATTTTCTTCTTTTCTCATTTTGTGTTTCCTGCTCCACCTTCTCAAGCATCTGGCCATCTGGGGCACAGAGTGTTCTCTGTATCTTAGAATTACAGTGCTCATTAGACGTGTATTCCAGTAATGGAAACGTATAATGAGAGACAAATGACAAACTGATGAACCCCTGATGAACTGATGTGCAGAGGAGGGATCCTCCTGTGATACTCCCCACGGTGTAAGAAATTCGGAGGCACATTTGAAAGAAAACCAGGAAATTCAGTGCGAGGCCTCTACTGGATTTGCCACAGGGTGTCACTGTTACTCTTGGCGAGTGAAGGACGATGCTAAATGTACCTGTGTGATCCATAGGTGCCGCAATGCCTCTGAGATGGGGCTGGAAGCATTTAACAACGCTATTACAATACTAGGAATGCTAAACAATACTAGTTAAATATGGAAAAGTATTTAACAGTACTCTGACAAAAGCAAAAAAATATTCTAAAGGCATCACTCTGTAAAATCTCAATAAAGGCAGATGATTAATTAAGGAAAATACTCTGAGGGTGATTGTGATACTCCTTTGGACAACGCACAGGGAATGCTACTTGGGACCAAAGCTCTCTGCTACCTTTTCTGTCAGCAGAACTTTGGTCAACACAAAGCATGAAAAACCCCCAAACCAGCTCCCAAATCCAGAAAAAAAATATCAGGGGCAGTACTTCTAGAGCATTAGATCTTAACTCAAGTAAAGCTCAAAGAGTAACATGCAGCATTTCACACTGATCATCCCAGGAGCTGCTGCAGACTTGCAGAAGAGGCTCCTTACCCAGCACTTCCTCCCCCTCCAAGACTGACTTTGGCTGACAGACCACAGGATAACCTGAACAGTTACCACCAGATGAAGCTCTGGGCCTAACACCAAAAGCTGCTCTCAATCCATGCAAGGATTATCTCAATAAATAGCCTCAACATTACAAGATATGTAGGAGAGCCATGACTTTTGCTGGCATTGATCAGTGCAAAATGCTCTTAGCTCAGCAGAGCATTAGTGATGTATACCTAACCACGACCAAGTTTAAGGAGGAAACTGAAGCAGTAATTGTCATGAAACAAAAAGCCCAAGCTGAATGAGAGGCTGAGTAGGAATTGCTGGTGAGAAAGGAGAAAGGAAAATTGCTTCTTGTAGAGTGACAGGAATTAAAATAAAACACATCATGCACTGCTGCACATGCTCCAAACAGTTATTGTCATTAAACCTGACTTCAGCTTCTGCTAAGGCTCATTTTCTAACACCACTGCACTAAACAGGCTCCCCTCCTACGTGATTGAAGTTGAATTAGACTATAAATGAAGACAAATTTCGCTGACTGTGCTGTCTCTCTCTTGTGCTACATTTCCTGATGGTATCAGGACTGTGAGGTAGGGCATCCACTCTGCTAGGTGGCCTCTGTGACCTTGCTATCTCCATTAAGAATAACTTAAAAGGTGCAATAATTGCACATTAGAATATATATGCCTTCATATGATAACACTGAATTTCCATGCTGTGCCACGCTCTTTTATTCTTCACTGGCTTTGAGAATTGTCATTTCAGTACATGCAAGTATCTTATTATATAAATCATGAAACTCAAGAAAGGTATAACGACTCAAAGTAGAGCTTTTAAAATGCAAATAACTGAAAACAACAAAAGTTAAAACATATTTTATGCTACTGCCATGCTTTGAAAAGATAAATGCCAGCCTGTTTACTACTATAAATAATAAACCTTGTTCACTTTACAAAGATCTTATGGGGATTGATCACTTTGTATCTTACACAAGCCTCAATATGTGAAGTGCTGTGACCCAGTTCCACATATGCTTTCCTTTGTGAGATTAATCTCCCTAAAATGAACATGGCAGCTCACAGCAGAAACTGCTTGCTTTCCTCTTTGCATGTATAATGTTTTATATTGCAAACCAAAAGGGACTGCTGGTCTCTGGTATGGTCTCCTGGTGTCTTAGAGTCATACAATCGTTTAGGTTGGGAAAGACCTTTCAGTAATGGCAAAATATCTACCATTACTTAAAATTTTGGATTTCCAGTTACCATGGACTAACAAGACAAGAAATGAAGAGTATAATATTATCAGTGTTTATTTTAGTAATGTATCTCCATTATCCAGAGTGAGGGGAGATGAAGAAAATCCAATACTGACACCATGAGACAGAGCACAATGGTGGAATCCTGAAACTCCAGATATATTTTGGGCTAGTTTGGGCCCATTATCTTTATCTATTTGGGCCAATTCCCTTTATTTCTGTAAACTCCCTAGCAGTAAATTAATTTTTTACCTTTATTAGGTTGTCCAGGCTGTGGTAACTCCCACACAATGTCAAATTAAAAAAAAATCATGAGGAAAAAGTGTGAAGGAAATTGAGTATTATTGTGTCCCTGAGGCCCCACTGCCACTTGATGTCACTATTCCTGTCAGGCAAAGGCTGGCAGGTGCATGTCTGCAAGAACTGGATTTCAGCAGGTAGGAAGCACCAAGGAAAGTCATACAGATTATTTCCATAAATCACAAGATTATGCCTTATGGGCAGCACTTGTTAAAACAAATCTATTGCAAAGGCAAAGCCAGATGTCCAGTTAAGGGTGAGTCTCCTTGTGGTCTGCTGGGCATAGGCTGGGACTGTCTGACACAAATGGGCAGGAAGTTCTCATGGCAAACACCACATCAGGGAAAAAAGCCCTCCTCCTCCCCCTGTATTACTGCAGCTTAGATCCCAATAAAGCAAACTAAAGGAGGAAAAACTCCATAAATAAGACAGAAAAGATCTAAGCCCAAGCAGAGACCAAAGAACCTCATACATTTCATGTTGACTGTGAAGCTCTTCCTGCTTGTCATTGGCCCTGGAAAGAGTCCTCATGGAGCTGAGAGGGGAACAACTGAGGATTCGAGGCAAGATTTAAACAACAGGGACAGGAATGGGGTCATCTGTGCTACAAGAAGACAATCATCTGTGTTTGCATCTGCCAAGGGCAATGGAATATTATGGTATTAAGAACAGAACAACAAGATTTTCACTAAGAATATATTTTAATAGTCATTCAGAAGTAGAAGGACAAATAAATAAAATGCCCAGCAATGCTCATTTGAGAGCTTTTTGCTTCTTGAGTGGTCAGAAAAAGAAGGAAAGGCCTGGAGGAACAGCAGCAGAGGGTCTGGCTCTCAGGGTCTGTTTAGCCCAAGGCCATGTGTCATGACTAATTGAAAATGATAAACAACCTCAGGTGTTATTTATACTCTTGCTCACAGAAGCATGTAGTAGTTAATACTGAAATGTCTATACATATTCATATGAGGCATCTACAATACATCTTATATTTTGCATTTAAACAAATTTGCAGTTTCATGCATGATGAACCTGGTTTTCACATGAGCACAAGACCTATTTTAAATGCTTTGGTCATGTGGGGTGTGTCAGACTGACCCTGATTAGCTCAGTGCTAAACCTGCCAAGGTCAGGGGTTTGATCCCCATACAGGCCATTCACTAGAGATGGACTCAGTGATCCTTGTGAGTCCCTTCCAACTCAGAATATTCTGTGACTCTGTGAATGTATTAATCAAATCCATAGATACCTTTCTGTGACTGTGGTTTCAATTCTACTGTTAGCCAACACCCCATAGAGCAGTTTGTACTCACACTAAGGTTCCTTGTGACAATCTACTACCACCCAAATCCCAAATTTTCCCTCGTCTGTGCACAAGTTAAAAAAAAAGTTCTGAGAGACTTGAATGGAATTCATGCAAGAAAGAAAAAGAGAAAGTGTAAAAAAACAACAGTAGTGCAGTGGTCTGGTTCTCACAAACTGTGACCAATCTGAACTCCCAGTTTGGCATTGAGAGAAAACCATTGCAAAACAATGTCCCAGACAAGTAATGGTCTTTCTTTCTGTGTTTTTTCCTTCACTCAAAGCAATTAAAGTACTATATTAATGGGTTTTGGTTACCCATCATCTTTAATTCACCCACTACTGAAACCTGATGGTTTCAAACTCCCAGAAGGTGAAGGACTCTTTGTAAACATGTTCTTGCTGCACTCAGGTGATGTCTACCCATGCCAGTATAACTTTGTTGTATGATAAAATAATTATCAGGTTTACAATATCTCTGTTGGATAGGGAATATTACAATTCAAGGTAGAGGAAACTGCACACCATTAATTTTAGTCATCTCTCAAGACTACACAGCAGAGCTATGACACAGCAAGTAGTAACAATCATGATTAGTTCCCACTTACCCATATTAACCATCCTCAAACACCAAGCTTTCAATTAAACCATGGCAGTAAGTAAATGCTATTTATACAAAGCTTGCAGCTTGACTGTTTTATAAATGGGTATGTGGGAAGCAATGTGAAATATCAACTGATAGTTAATATTTAAATTGCTGCTCATTTACACTTAAGGCAAGTTTCATTGCTGCTATTTGCAGAGAGATTCAAAGTTCAGAATTCGGTGATTCACTTCAAGAACTTTTATAAATAACACTGTATGATAAATCAAAAAACAAAATCAACTTATCATGAAGGAATCTTCCTTCTCCCAGGGGACAAGAATTGGTTTTGAAGACAGTAATGGGTTTTTAATCTATTGTAAGAACGGGTTCTTTGATCTGTCTTACAAACAGCATTCAGGAAGGGGAATACTCTGTCCTGGATGTCTAAACCTTACAGGAGTCACTCAGAAAAGTCAGGAGAGTGACTGTACATGGGATAATCTGCAGTTTGAAATAACACTGCCTTGGCAATGCCATCCTTCACATAGAGGATGCTTGGGCACTGAACAGCTTCCCCAGGGAAGTGGTCACAGCACCAGCCTGGCAGAATTCCAGAAGTGTTTGGACAATACTTTCAGGTACATGGTGTGACCCCTGGGGTTGTTCTGTGCAGGGCCAGGAGTTGGATTCAGTGATTGTTGTGGAACCCTCCAGCTCAGGATATTCCCTGATTCCATGATCATTTCCTTTAACTGTGATAGCTTATGTCACACACATAAACATGCCTTGTTGCTAAGCCTCAATTCCACCAGTAATACAAGCATTAATTTAAACAATCATACTCATTTTTACTTATGAATTTTGAATCCATTCCTACAAGGTACTCATCACAAATGCAGAGAGAGGAACACAAATTTAAGTCCTGCATGTATTCCCAGTGTCTCTTCACCACTCTGCCTTGAGTGGTGCTCCACCCATGTACTGCTCTTACAGAGCCCCCTCTGAGTCTTCCACAGGTCCCTACCAGGCATCTGAATGAAACTGGGGAGCTCTCAGGTTAATACCACAGCTTTGAACAATTCTGGGTTCCTTTCAATAGTTCTTCATCATTAAAGCAATGAAGCAGAAGCTCTGCTGAATATTTTACCATACTTCCTTTTAGTCCTATTTTATTTTAATTTAATGGAATTTTCCTAAAAGAAGACTCTCTAGATTCATGTGGCTCTAGCAAGGTGTTCGAAGAGAGAAATTCAAAAACTTACCTGGCTGTCATCTTCTTCTAACTTGCTTTGTATCTCAGCCCCATCAATTTGACAAGGATATTCTCATTTCCTTCATGCTCTATGTAGTCCCTGTGGAAGAAATTGGATGCATTGAAAATATCTCAATAATCCTCAGTGGATGATGAATTACAGGAATACATTTCTTAAATAATTAACCTGAATGTGTGCTAACACCATCAATAAGATGCTCTCCAAATCCCCAGACACCATGAATAAATGAGAAAAAAATAAAACCAAACCAGCAGTTCTGCAATTAGTTACTTTCATAAGAAAACAAACATCATAATAAGATTTAATAAAAAATTCAGATAATCCTTCCACTAAAGGGAAGCCACATTGGCTAAGCAGACACCAGTTCAATACAAAAAGAGGAAAAAAAATTAAAAGAGAGCTACCACTCTAATAAAGCCAGTGCTCTCACTTTTCTCTCTCCTGTTCCTGTCCTTAATCCTAAAACCCAGTCAGTCTTCCTCAGGTGGGAAATCCATCACCATCCTGCTCTTTATCACCTGGGCACTTCCACAGAACAACACTATTTCCTCCTTCTCCTCAACCGAATGCTGCCTAAAAACTCCTCCTAGAATCTAGAAAAATGATACAATAAAACTGGAATTTGGGGCTGAACCTGGCAGTGTAATGCACAAACCAAACAAACTGCTGCACGGGGTTGAAAAAAAAGGAGGAGAAAACCTAGAGCAGCTCCGAACCTGTTAATGAACTAGAACAATTTACTGGAGAGAATCAACTCCAAAGCAGGTCAGCAGTGAGGGAGGAGGTGTGGCAGCCAAGCTGCTGGGCAGTGAATTCCCAGGATCCCGCTGATTTCAGGGAGCAGCCCCGTGTCACAAACACCCCCAGCAAGCAGAGCCACCTGTGCCTGGCTTCTGTGCAGCGGGTTCAGCTGATCTCCATCCCAGAGAAATGGGGGCAAACTGGGGCCTTTTAACACCTTTAACTGGGCATTTCTGGACTTGGACATTCACAGCTTTGAAAACCAACGGTTTAAATGAGCTTGTTACACAATATTTAAACTTTTAAAATTTACATCGTTGTGAATGGTAGGGTAAAAATTTCAAATACATTCTGGCAATTTATTATTTATTCCTACGAATAAAATGCTGCTGCCTGCTCAGAAAACCCACTCTTAGGCATATAAACTCATTTGGTTCCCATAAGATTCAAGCTCCCAGGTGATCAGAATCTGTTTAAAAAGTATTATATAGGCTCTAAATCAC